AAATCATAATTTTGCCTGTATCAAAGATGTATATCCATGAAGACGATTTTTCAGGACTTCAGTACATTGTAGCTGTTTGATACCTGCAAGGATTATACCTGTGATGACAAGAAGAGCTCCTATTATACTAGTGACTGTAGGAGCTTCTCCTAGCACAGTTACTTGCAAAACGTAGGCAACTATAATTTCAGAAGTACTTGCAATAGAAACTCTTCCTGCTTCTTCGATGTACAACGCAGTTGTAAGCGCTGCCTGGCTCAGCAGCCCCACGCCGCCAATTAGTAAAATGTATAAAGTTTTTTGCCAGTTTTCTGGGCTTTGCCGGACTCCTAAGCTCCACGTACCCAGCAAGGTAATCAATGAAGCACAAACGGACCACCAAAATATTACGACGGTTTTGGGCACATCCTGTAGTCGCCACATCCCCACACGTACAGTAGCTTCTCCGGCAGCAGCACCGATGGCACATAAACATCCAACGACGTGGTCATGAGAGAATCCTTGCGTAGAAAACAGGAAAGACGGAGACGCCACAAGAGCAACTCCGAGGATATCAACCAGAACAGTTGAAATTTCAAATGGTCCACAATTCTCACGAAGAAAAAAACAAGCAAGTAAACTAGTATAGATTGGTTGAATGAAGAAAATTAATGAAGCGTCGCCAATAGGAAGATAATAAAATCCAAAATAGTATATCACAAAAGAGCCAGTTCCCAAAATAGCCCTTAATGAAAAAATAATTCCGTTTTGGCCAGGAAAGAACATCTTTGACCGCGTCCAAATCATAATAGGAATTGGAAGCACAATATGAACTATACGTCTAAGGCCAAAAATTTCAGATGGCCCAAGTGACGTAAAACTTTGATCAGTAAAGCATTAATTGCTCCGCAGGTACTGGCAAATATTGCTAAAAGAATGCCTGTACATGGAATAGAATCCAAAAAGCCAAGTTTAGGTTTTACAGGTTATTTTACAGGATGTTCAGCATCATCGTTTCTACACTCAGAATCGTTGTCTGGAAAATCAACCAACATCTTGATATCGGATGGAGTTTTTTCGTTTTTTCAATTTTACAAGATCCACCTTCTTGGACGTATCCCATATTCCATTGTCATCTGTACAAAAATATTTTATTCCACGCATTGTCTGTAAATAGATTAGAAGGGAAAAAATAAGTAAGCAGAAATGAAAATATGTTATGAAGAATAATATTTGTTTAGACTAAATATACCGTTTCTTTACGTTAATACTTTTAAAAATAATTAACCAACATCATATCATTATCCAAACAAGCAAACACTATGAACTGATTAAAAGAATTAACACTTAAAACACGTTTCAAAATATAGTTACAACACAGATTAACTATATTCGAACATTATTTCCCCAATCCATACGACAGAGTTTGTTTCTACAACGAAGCTACATAATACGGTATCTGCCATTTGTAAACTATAACGTTTCTAGGAAAGTTTAGTACTGCTATAATGAGGGTTACTTACACTTTATAAAAATGATTTCCCTATTGCTTGAAAATAAACTTTCAAAGTCAAGTATAAAAAGAAAGATAGTTATCATTACACGATATTGCATAACATTGCAATTTCAGTTATAACAAGCTTCTGCAAAAGATGACGAGGTCAATCTCTGACCATATTTTGACAAACTTTCAACAGATCATTTACTATCAGTGGACGCTAGCTTTCAAGGCGACGTTTATGTTGACTATAAACAAAACCTATGAAGCTACATTGTGGGACGTTATAGGTCGAATGATATTGATACGATTCCTATTTCTTCGGCGATCTTAGTGATGATAATTTTGTTTGTTTGTATTTAAACACAGGGCTACTTAAAGAGCTATCCATGCTCTGACCACCACGAGTATTGAAACCCGGTTTCTAGCGTTGTAGGTCCACAGAAATACCTCTCTACCACAGTGGGAAGTATTGATGATAATAGCCGCTGATTTGCTGATTTCGAGGGGTGAATGGAAGCTTTGAGTATTTTGTTTCTGGATCTCCACTATAAAACTCATATTTATTTCTTTGAATAAGAAGTGGCGCAACTGCTTTGTCATTTTTGTCAAGTTTCTCCGCCCGACTGCTACATCTCCTCGCTTCCGATACACTCCTATTTTCTTGCATCAATTTTTATTAAATGCTGCTGAAAATCCTCGCAGAGATTTTGTTCATTTTTAGCACATTTGTGCGTATTTTCCGCGTTTTCAGAGAAAAGAAGGTGCAATCTCCTTAAAATAACCTGCAAAACATTTAAGGTATGACATTTAACGTACACTACGAGAGTTTCAAAAACAAAGTCCATTATGGACTAAGAGTTCACTTTTACTTGCAGATTTTCACTGGATCTGTCGGGCTTTCACCAAGAGCAGAGCTTGGTATGCAATTTGCCGCTCAATAATTAGTTAGATTGCACATCTAATTAATTCTCAAGTTTCTTCCTGGCACCCATAGTTCTAACAGCAGGGCGAGGCATGTTAAGGGATTGTTGAAATTGATGCCTTACACCTGTTAGTTTTTACGTTTTTACACTTTTTACTAATTGCAGCATGTCTAATCTTTTCAATACGTACCATCAAGTGTCATTGGCAGCATATGCAATTCAGTCACATAAGTAGCTCTTAAACACTTGTACCTAAGTAGTATAATAACGTCTTAGTCTCACAAAACGGGTGCCCATGCATTCGCACTGACATTTTCATCGTCTTTTTACTACACAACAGTCATTTGTTATGTGTAAAGTACTTGTTCTTTGGATTTAAAGCTCGATGTTTTTCCATTAGAATGTAAATAGAACTAAGTAGCTGTGAATCAGTGAACTTCTTGCAGGTGTCTCTTCATTCTTTATTTTTTGCTGTTCATGCTTTCTATTCTTGCAAAAGCCATTATTCATCTACAGCACATTATTTCTCCTGTTGATGGTCTTTCCACAAATGACAGTGTCATGGTTTTTGCATTCATGAAAAAACGACACAGTACTACGTTGCACTAAAATATCTGTTAATTACGATACATCTGTGTTTGGTAGAATGAGAATTTGATTCCATGACGCACTTTTTGTAATCTGATTTCAGGCTTGGGTTACAATCTCAGAAGAGCTGACGGAATTAGATCAGGACTATATTCTTTCCGCTGATTAGCGCTTAATAGATCCTTAAATAGCGTTAAACATCTTTTCCATTAACACAACGCAGCTTTGCACCAATAGGTATGATTTTCCACTTTCCAAGGTTAATCAAGAACTAGGTTTTCCTCAGGCATCGTAAACTTTGATTCAAGGTTTATAGCTCACCCAGACTGTTTTGCCATCAAATAAGTGTGTTGGCTCCAACAGTCGACGAGTTATCTTTGCCTCGGCGACCAGTTCTGTAGTTGTGAGAAATGTATATGTGTCAAGTCTGTGAAAACTTGATGAAACTAAGTTGGCCGGTAACATAGAATAAAGCTCCCAGTTAATTTGGAATAACTTTCATTAGTTAGAATACTAACTGTAAACAATTTTAGTGTTATTTTCCATCTTAGATGTGCGTATTGTTATAGCAAAGCCACATCGGGCTATCTCCTGTGTCCGCCGACGGGTATGGAGCCCGTCATTTTAGCATTGTAAATCCGTAGACATACCGCTATCCTAACAGGTGGACTTTCCATCTTAAGTTAAAGTTTAATGGTGAAACAATAGCTCTAAAGTTATGGAATAGGCACATGAAAGTGTTTTCCATTAATGAGATACATATATACTATTTTAAATCTCTCTCTTTCTGATTGAAAGCTGAACTCCATGTTTCCGTGTATTAACCCCTATGGAAATAAAAGTTATTGCTATACCTATAATATTTGCTTCTGTTCTTAAGAAAACAAGTACAATAAATTCAAGTTCGATGACGAGGTACCTGATGATGACAAAACTTTGGCGAAACGTTGTATATTTGCTGTTATGTTAAACTTATATTAAAGATTTTCTTCATTACCCATTCAAGCCGTCTCCAAGCGTTATTAAACACAATGAAATATCCTTTTCTCTTTGGAAGTTTTTGGAATTAGCAGGTGTGTTATATAAGGGGGGAAAAAACAAAGAAATTACCAAGATGAATAATATGGATAAAAACACATAAGTTTGAATTACAAGCTTTTCATCATTATTTTGCTTCTAAAATCCGGATAGATATTTAGGTTTTATTAACCATTGCTTTAACTTATTCCTAATCACCAAGAGAATAACGACAATGGACCGCCGTCATCATGAGATATAAAATGCTATTAATCTAGAATTTCAAATATTTATTATACAAAACTGAATCATGAAACTGAAGCTCAGTAAACTAAAACGTTTCCATTGTCGACTTCCAGCAGAGCCATTAATTACCTTGTTGCACATATACCCAAACAACACGGAGAAAAATGGTTTGTAAAATTTAATGTCCATAACTAAATCAATTACATGATATACAAGCTTTGATTCACCAACTAAATGCGGTGTTTATTCACAGGAAAGGCTTCAGCGTTATTTTAAAAGCATACAAAGCTGACAACAGATTCATTCAACGAGAATCAACATTTAATGACAAACGACAGAACAACGGCAGCAACAACGAACCTTTGACACGCGTGTGTTAGATTTTTAAAATTTAATTCTTGGTAGTTTTGGAATGTACATATACAATCTTCAACAAGCTGAATTGAACAGGGTAAAATATAATGTACAAAAAATTTTAAAGCTCAAACATTTTATAAAGAGTAATTAAAATGCATAATAAAAGGATGAAGTAAATTAGAAGGCAAACAAAGAAAGAATAGGATAATGCAACAATTGTAACAATATCATACATGTTATTAACAGACTCAAGTGTAGTGAAACTGTGTTATTATTTAAAGTTGGGAGTTCATTTATAATAGATAAACTTTCTTTCATTAAACTTCGATACTAGATGATCCAGATGAGATAACTTTGAAATTCGTAATCAAGATAGAATGATTGTTGTTTTCACTATGTGTGCGAATTGTGGAGTCTGGTGGATTTGATAGTTTTCTACCATTCCTGTTTCATACTCCTATGTGTTCGCAGGTGTAATTGGCGTATAGTTTTGCTAATGTAAATGGCATTACAGCCACCACATGTGTATTTAAATGCGATCCTGGGGTGAAATTTGTGAGAAAGGAACTTGTGTGTTAGGGCTTGAATAAAAACTAAGAGATAGCTGTTGTTTATTAAAATGTTCTGAAAGATGGTAATTTAGATATGAAGAGAGAGAGGAAGTTAGAACAGATGTTGTATGCTCTATTGAGAAGATTGATTATAAAGTTACGTTTAATGGATTTCGGAATAAAACTGTCGAATCGAATAATTAAACCTGTATATATTTTCTACGATAAACTGATGTAGCGAAATGGTTATCTAATCTGCTGATTTGGATATCAAAAAAAGGCAATTTACCGGATTTTTTCTTCAGTTTCCTAACTATATTAATGTTAGTGTATCGAATTTAACTAATCCAAGAATTGTTTGATATAATTAGAGCTTCGAAAAATTAAAAACGTATCATCAACATACCTTCTATATAAAGCCGGTTTCTGTTCGCCAGGACAGGTGTCTAACCAGGATCGCTCACTGTGAGAAAGGAATATATTAGCGAGAGTCGACACTAAAGGTGACCCCTTTGCCACGCCATCTATTTGGTCATATAGCTGACCAATAACGACAAAGTGATAAACTTCCCCTCAGGGATAAACTAATTCTTCGAACTGTTG